GCACGGGTCAGGAGGTCTGGGTGTCCGGGTCCGCTGCCCGCGAGGATGATTCTCCCCTGTTGCTGAGGGCGTGCTGCACCACCTGCTGCGATGGCTGGTGGTGGTCTCGCCTCCTCTGACGGGTTTCCGAAGCCAGAGTACGACTTCAGTACAGACTCGACGTCCTCGTCGTTGATGGCGGCGAGACGCTTCAGGGGCCAGTACTCACAAACCTGACTCAGCCACCTCATGCGCCGGTTCTTTGCTGCATCGAGATCGGCCTCGGTGACGAGCTTGTTAAATGATGCCGTCTGGTCGAACGAATCGTCAACCTCGTCTGTCGCGAGACGGTCTTCTGTCTGGATTCGCCGGCGCACATCGCCTAACCTCGCGCAGGCGGCGCCTAGGTCTCGGGGAAGCGCGGCGGCGACTTCGCGCCGGATGCGGGAGGCGAGCTTGCAGCCGCGCCCGTTTGTCGTTACGCCGATTTGCAAAGGTCCATCGGTGTGCGTTGATAAAAGCGAGAATGAGCAGAGGTGCGGCGCATCGACTACGTTAATTGGAATACGATGCCGCCTGCACAGCGCTGAGATTTGAGCTGCTTGTGGGGAGGAAGATGATGTGACAAAGACGGCATCAACGACGTTATCAACCTCTTCGCGACCCAGGGTGAAGAGGTCTGTGTCGGCAAAGGCTTTTCTGTGCCATGTCACCTCGCCGGCGTCGATGCGCTTCTGGAGGCCGTAGTGGAGGTCTTGTGTGTCTGGGGCGATGAGGATCGGGGTTGCGCCGGCGTTGATGGTTTGTGTGCAGCGGGCTGCGGCGAGGGGATTTGTGCCGATGATGAGATGGGTGTTGCCCTTGCAGTTGAGGGATGTGAGGAGTGATGTTGTTGTCGCCATCTTGGGCTGTGTGAGTGAAGATAATGAGCCTTCTTGTTCCTTTCTTCTTTTTCTTCTTCTCTTGGGTTCAAGTACACGATGATCCCCGTCTCATTAGATGGTTCAGTGAGGGTCGTCTAAGTGGAGTATGCGACAGAGGTCGTAGTCGAAGAACCGACAGTCCAAGTGAGACCGAATGGATGGCGAATGAATCGAGAACGAGTAGCGGAATCAATAAACTCTCATAGCTCTGGAATCAAATAGAGAAATAGATCATTGATATGAATTACTCACTCACTTCCTCCCTCAAGATTTGAGTGAAGCTAACTAATAAGGTAATCTGCCAAAGCCCGAAGACGGCCGGGGACCCGTGGGACCCAATCATGCGGCGGGCAAAAAACGTTGGTTGGCCAAATTTTCATTCGCTGGCGATGACACCATCCCGACAGCCGTCCGCCCCAGTGGCCCCAATCCCCTTATCGGCGCACCACCCGCACCGTGACCACCGCAATCGCGCTGAAGGCCTAGGGCGATGGCGTGACCAATCAGCGGCATTAGTGACCGACTCCCGCGGAGCCGTCGCCGGAGATCCTTCACTTACCGTCCCTTCTTCGACCTGTGCTCGCCGATGCATCTCCGGTGTCAAACACCAGGTCCCGCCACTTTTGGTTTAGACATCAGATAACATTGCGCTTCGCATGCTTGGCCTTAGAAAAGAGTTATCAAATCATTGAGTTGTGGTATTGTAACATGATGTAGTTGGCTCATCCTTTGAGCTATGTGCCTTAGTACCTCAAGGCAAGGCAGACCGTGATATGCCTCCATTCCCGCCCATCCAAAATCTATTCGGTTTTTGTGGTGTTGATACAATACTTTTCCCACCCATTTTTTGTACACAATCCTATTATCACACCTCAAGCTTACACTTATTCCTCGTCCGCCTTGGCCAGACTCTTCAACAGCTGCTGGCGAGCCGCCTTCCTGCTCGTCTTGCGCTGCGGCCCAGTTGTTGTTCTGCCCTCATCCGAGCCAATGACACCCGTCTCGTTGATATCGACACCAATCACCTTCTTCTTCTTACTAGCAGCCGCCTTTTGACGCTGGGCTCTAAGACCACCGTCGTCGAGGACCTCAGGCCTGCCCAGACGCACGTTGCGACGGTTGCGCGTCTTCGCGCCCAGGGCCCAGAGGTCACCCCACTTGGCCTTGCGCGCATCGTGATATGCTTGCTTGCTGAAGCTCTTCGGCACCGTCCAGCGCTCAATCTGGGCGTTGGGTGTGCACACATCGAGCGTGACGTGACCGCGGCGCTTGATGGGCGGGAGGATCTGGCGGGGTAGGGAGAGCATGTCGGGTGCGGTCTCAGACGTCTCAAAGCCCTCAAAGGCCCGGTCGGCGGCTTCTGCGCCGGCAAGCGGTCCCTCCTTTGCTGCGACGCCGCGCTGAATGGCGATGTAGCTGAATTGCACATCGTCGTGGTTGCGGTGTGTTGCGCCCATGATTCTTTGCAAGAATGGCGGACGCACGAAGCGCTGGTTAAAGTGGCAGAAATCCTTGCGTCCGGTACTCTTTCCGGGAACCTGGTACATCGGGCACCCGCGGTGGTTTGTGCAGGGCGCAATAATCATGCCGGGTACCTTTTCTCTCTCAAACGCTGGGTTCTTCTCTTCGCCCATTGTAAGGTTTTCGCCTCCAGGAGGTATGAGGAACTCAGTAAGCAGACGCTCGCGAACGTCAGCCACGGCTTCAAAACCGCGGGGCTGGCCCTTTTCCAGCAAGATCAAGACACCGCCGTTGGGATTCAGAAGTGACCAGATGTTGTTCAAGATAGCCTTGCGTCTATGGCCTTCCTTGACAGGAAGCATCAGGTGAGATGCGATGATGATATCAAACATCTTCCTCGGCTGTGGGTTTTCGTTGGCATCCAGGTGAAGATGTGCGTTCTCGACTGAGTGGTGGTAGTCGGGAAGACGGGGGAGGAAAGTCGTGTTCTGCAAAAACTTCGTGACACGAGTCCGCAGCTTTTCCGATCCCACCACCACGCTCTGCTTTCCGGGAGGGTTCTTCTCAGTGACCTCTCCGCGAGACTTCATGGCGTCCCACTCGGCGCGCGACACATCCTGCCAGGCCAAGAGACCAGCACCACCAGCGCCGACGTCGAGAAGGCGAGGTCCACTTCCGTTCTTGAACAAATTGCGCAGCCAGTCGGTGCCCAGGCGTTTGCGTACCTCGACCAAGCTTCCCATGGCCGAGGCGTAGGCGGGGGGTAGGAAGGCAGACACGAAGGCGTCCGCCTCTATGTCAGACATTTTGTTCTGCCAGACAGCCATGCCGATGGCCTGTTGTTCCATGCCCATCTTGGACGCCGGAGTGGCGGGTGAGTGTGGCAAACCAGGACCTCCGAATGCCTTCTCAGCAGCCTCCTTGACGTGCTTGATGTCTGTTCTGTCGAGTATGGACGTGACTGGCGCAATGTATCCGCCATACGGCAGACTGACTGTGCTCGGGTTTGTCGAAAAGTGGCCCTCCCTCGAGAAAGGGTGCAGACGTCCTGCCCGCTTAGAAGTCCCTTGATCCTGGATGCCATCCTGGCTCTCGTCGTATTCCTCTTCTTCTTCCTCGTCCTCTTCGAACTCCCGTTCCTCGTCCCGCAGTTCGTCTTCTTCCAGCATCTCCCTATTTTCCTCCTCCACGGCGCGGGCATTGGCCTCAAAATCCTTTTGCAGCATCATGAGCGCGTCGTACTCCCTCTTGTTTCTCGCCACCATGTTGATGTATTTGTCGCTGCCTTCTGGCGGTGCTTGCTCGGTCGGCTCAGGCTCTGTGACCTCAGTAGCAGCAGCAGCAGCAGCAGTAAGCTCATCGCTTGTCTCGGAAACGGGCTCATCGTCGTTTTCCGCCGCTTTTTCCGCCTTCTTGCGGGCGTACTGGACCTCTTGCAGTGTGCCACCCTGGACCTGGCGCAGCAGGGTTGGGCCACCCGACCTGTCTCGTCGAACGCCTGCAGAATGCTCGTCGTTCAAGTATTGTATTCCTACATCCTCCGGGGATGTCTCCCGCAGAGGCTGCCCATACCACCGCTCGTACAATGTGTATTCCTCCTCGCTAAGGTACCCCTTGGGCAGTGTATCTCGGAATCGCTGCCTTGCCTCTCGAACCGTCTTCTCGATTTCGGCGGTACGCGCAAGTAATTCGGCATCGTTGCGATTGGAATCGGGGTCCTGTAAGCTTCGTGGTGTTGTCGAAAATGGCCTGCGGATGTTTGCAGGTCGGTCTAATGGTCGTGTCGCAGCTAGGCTGCTCTGTCGCGGGAAGCTTGATCGAAGCTGTCGGCCTGCGGGGGATGGACCAGCTAGTGTATTTCCAGTCAAGCTCAATAATCGAGCTCGACAGCTGGGACAGGCATTTCGGAGGCCACCTGCTGTCAACATGATTGCCTTTTGGTTGTGGTTTGGTGGCAACGCAAAGTTGTCAAGGACAAAAGTCGCCAGTGAACTTTTAGGAGCTGTCGCATGGAGCATTGAAATTTGGGTAGCTCAAAGATCGCCGCCCCACTTGTTGGAAATGAAACGCTCCCGATTGGCTTCGACACCAATGCCGTTCCATTAAGCATTACATGGATTCAACCCAAGGTATTCAATATCTCAAGCTGCAATAAATGCAGAAAGAAAGTGATAGACGCATAGCGATTCACTTGTGTTGGCTGAAGAGCTGAGATATTTTTTGTTCAAGTCTGTGCAATTCCGGTTTACTTTGTTAGTTACTCTTTCATCTATCAGGTACCTCATGTATTTCCACGTATCATGCTGAATGGACTGCCTTCAAGTTCCCAACTTCTCTCACAAGGCCCTAAGCTGTAAGTTTCCATTACCATCCTGCTACCAAAGCTTCACTTAAAATGACCAGACAGACCGACCTGCGTTGTCCACCAAAAGCTGTCGATATTGGATATTCTGCATTTTTTATAGACATCATAAATGTATTCACAGTTTGTCTAGACTCATGGAAAGTGAAGCTATTAGCTAATGAGAGCGATTGGCCATCTTCAATGCTTCAAGGGCATTAGATTTTTGACAAAAGTCAACTAACTCGAAACATTCTATCTCTCATTGATATCATCTATTCTCACTGCTATAAACATCATGCCTCTTCTATTTTGGCTTTGTCCTTTTCCGAGGTCTGCTTCTCTAGATATTTGATGATTTCCTTCATTGCTGGTAAACTCCCAATCTTCTTATGCCTCTGAGCTACATCCCGAGCATACGCCAGAGGGATTTTCCCGTGGGGACCTTCCACGGTGAGACTCGCGCCTTTCTCGAGGAGGAGTTTGAAAGACGCCTCAAAGCCGTTGCGAATGGCGTAGTAAATTGCAGTGTGTCCGGCTTTCGAACTCGCCTCGATGTTGGCCCCTCTCTTCAGGAGCTCCTCAATGACAGCCGTTTGGTCTTTCAGAACCGCCCAATGTAGCGCTGTGCGGCCGTCCGTCTCGTATTTCCGATCAATTCTAGCGCCACCCTCTAGAAGCAACTTGACTAGGCTTACGTGCCCAGCCTGCGCCGCTAAAGAGAGGGCAGTCAGGCCGTTCGAGTCCCTGCAGTCTACTTTGGCTTTTCGCTTAATCAGTGCTTCGGCCGTCTTCTTGTTGCCCTCCTCAGCCGCATTTGCTAGAGGTGTGCACCCATCTTCGTCTTTAGACTCGATAGAAACCCCCCGATTGAGCAGCAACTTCACAGACTCGGCGCATCCATATTTTGCCACCGAGGCTAGCAATGTTTCCCCCATGTTTTCAATCACTTCGGTGCTCGAGCCGTGGTCTATCAATGAGCGGAGAGGGTCAGAATCCCTTGTGTTCTCGGCTGCAATCATCAACGGGGTAGCGCCTGACGAGCTCTTGGCCGTGGTGTCTGCCCCTTCTTTGAGGAGCAACTCCACAGCCTCGGCACACCCATATCCTGCTGCATAATGCAAGGGTGTCATTTTTTTGTCTTTGCTGCGTGTTTTGATCTTGGCTCCACGATCAATCAAGACACGCAGGAGAGCACTGTCGTGGCTATCGTCGTACTTGGCAGCTTTACATAGAGCAGTCGCCCCATACGAACCTTGTGCTTCAAGATCCGCGCCTCGGTCGAGGAGCAGGTTTATCGATGCAATTGACTTTGCCGAGACCGCAAGCTCCAGTGGCGTTTCGTCATTTTTCGTTTTGGCTTCGATATCTGCCCCACGATCCAACAGCCACTGTGCGAGCAAAAGATTGTTTTTGCGAATGGCAACGTGCAAAGGCCTCCGACCATCCTGGTCCAAGTCTTCGGTATGCGCGCCTCGGTGAAGTAACAGCCGGACAGCTGGCAAAAAGTTTTCCGTACACGCCCGATTTAGAGGTGTCATATTGTAGCCATCTTTTGCGTTAACGCTGGCGCCGTTCTCTATCAGCCAAGTCACAACTGATAGATTCTTTTTGATAATCGCCCAGGCTAGAACACCACGCCCTTTAGAATCGTTGAAGTCGAGGTTTGGAAGAGAATCCTTCAGAAACTGCATCGCGGCTATGTTTCCTTTGACGACTGCTTGCAGAAACGTCCGCTGCAATACGTCCTTCATGGAGTGGATTTCTGCGTTTTGCTTCTTCTTGGCTTTGAAAAGGTCTTCGGATAGGTAGATTACAACGGAGTCTTTCCATTTCGATGCCCTTTTTTCTCCGCTGGCTGAGTGCAACTTTTGCGCCGTGGAAAGTGTTTGAAGCAGTTTCTTCTCCATTGAAGCGTACTTTTCCTTGTCTCGGGAGGACGACTCTAGCCTTTTTTCGGATTTTTCCTTTTTTTGCACGAGGTCTCTCTTCTCTGCCTCTAGCTGATCGAGCTGTTGCTGTACGTCCCTGAGTCGTGCTTTTGCGGAGTCGAGGGCCGTTGCCTCGGTCTCTATGGAACTAACCGACTTGTTAAGCTTTGGCGTGATTTCTTGACTTTCCTGAAGGATGCTCTGCACATTTACGCTGTGATCGAGAAGCTCAATCTCAGACGTCAAATTGACAGTGGACTTGGGCTGGCTGCTCTGTGGAACCACACGCACGTCGTAAACCGGATGTACACCTGCCCCATGTCGCTGTCTAGAAACTTTAGCTTGAATACTCATGGTCCCGTTGTAGGCGCTTCCGTTCCCAAAGGTGTACTCTTCCACGAGCGGAGCATATGCAATCTTCTTCAGAGTCGTCCTTCTTGATGCGATCATGGCGTGGCACTTTGCAGCTGAATGAGTCTTGGTCGATGTGAGCTCTAGGGCAAGTATAAAGTCGTTTGAATCATGCTCAGATACAGCAGGTCGAACTCTGGCCCATGTTCGCTGAGTCGATTCGTTGTGGAAGTCCATGCCGGTATAGAAGAAAGAATTATCCTTGTCCCAACAATCAGTGGGCCAGACGTCGATTATTTCGAGGCCTTCAGCAAGCATGTTCTCGTATGAGAACCCATAACGGCAGTCCTTCACCCGAGTTTCTTCGGGGCTAATCGACGCCAAAGCGTGTATGGATGATACTGGGGTATCACACGCCACGTCGGGCAACATTGTTGTCTTGCTGTTCTTTGGTCTGATGTACTCGCCACCTGACTCTCCAGGCGCAATACGGGAAAGAGGAATCCCCACAACTCTTTCCCTACCATCTTTGTCGTATCGACAGCTGAGAAGGCCATATGTGACCCCGGAACGATCAGAATGAAGTGGTATTCGCAGTTTGAGGTAACCGCGTGAAATGTTCCCCTCTATCGTCGGAGTGTGATTTTCCCTGGATGTGACGTTCCCGCAGCCTGCAAATGCTGCAGGAGAGGGGGCTAGAATACGCCCAACCAGATCCCTTGGGCGATTTCTAGACTCTACCACACTTATTTGTTGCCTTAAGCCCCAGGCCAAGATTGAGTCGTCCGTGGTGGCATTGATTATCGTATCTTGAAGCCGGATGAAAGCACCATCGCCTTCTCCATATATCAGTGACATGACAACATTGAAAATGCCCAGAAGCGAATACGCAATGTCTTCTACCCTCTTGGTCTCTCGATTCGAAGCCCAAGACATGCGTTGTGCCACACTTGCTTCGCGTAGGTTGGAAGCACCCAGTAAAAATCGTGCCGGGATACCTGTTATGTCTCCTACGACTTCCGACTGTTGCAGCTTTGTACCCAAAGCTTGCCAGTCGCTACTGTAAAACATGAGCTCGCTCGGGGCCAGCAGCTCTTGTAAGGTCCAGCCTCTTGTGAACCAACGACTATTTCGAAACTTCGATTTCCACTTGGGATTGTCCTTCGAGGGTACATCTTGGAGGAACGTATAGCATCTCTCTGCTTCCTGGTACCATCGGAACATGGAATTGATCGCCTCGCCCAACTCGTTGGCGTTGGTCTTGTCGATACAGCAAGTATCGATCCATACATAGTCGAGTCCATCAGTTTTGGCTTGTCGCAGGCAACCTTCAAGCTTGACCGTTCCGATGCCTGGCTTGTCTGTGTCGCCTTGCTTGATTTCGCGGAAAGATATCTCCTCTTTATCTGGTCCCCAAGTATGTGATAAGATGGCATACTCCGGTTTGTCGGCATGGAATTCCTCCAGTAACCGAGTATGCACATTGATGAGATGCATATTAGGCGAGGGTGCCGGTCGTTACAGCTTTGAAGTATACTATCCTAAGTCCAGGAGGAAGCTCTCGGGGCTCTCGGCAGGGGTAAGAGCCGAGACAGGAGGTCTGATTCACAAAAAATGAGAGAAAGGAGGAACATGTGCACAGAAAGAGAACGAGAGCAGAAACGGTGAAGTAGAGAAGAAATTGGAACCAGGTTCTGATGAGTGGTAAGCCGCTAGACAAGGCAGTCAGTGGAAGAGGGGCGGATAAGCAGGACAAGCCCCATCAACAGAGATTCTATTCGCCAGCCTCACGTTGACCGAAGGCAGCTGCGGCCCCGAACAAGCGCCTGCAGAATGCAGCATGTTCAGTACGGATACTCAGCCCCATGCTGTTTGGCTTGCGTCCCAATTGCCATCTCATCCGGGGCATTAACAGTCGCGAAGGGTTCTTCCATTGTACCGATTTGAAATGACTGATAACGAGGAACGTACTCAATCGATGTATAGCCGCGATACCTTCGTGGAGGTAAGTCGGCAGGCTTTCAACGGCTTGCGACGGATCACGGGAACTTGTTGTGTATAATAATCAATGTAAGGATGCTCTTCGAGCCCGGTAGAGCTTCTAGGTACTCGTAGATAAATAGTCCCAAACGCCTTTCGCCTGTAATCCACCATATCACTCATCGCCACCCAAATCAGCCAGGGTCTTGAAAGCTGGCCCCCTCGGCGGCTGTCTCGTGCCGGGGCCAGCACTCTTTGTGGATTTGACCGCCGGTGGGGGCGGGTTTACGCGGTTAAATTGCGACATCTCGGCCGCCTTGTGGGGATCAATCTACCAGTCCGTCAGCAGGCGGTTCTTCTTGCTCCCCTTCGGATCGACTGTGAACCAACGTACCGCAAACAAAGACACCAGATACAGTCCAATAAACGTAATGATGTTACTCAGAACATCGCGGTAGTGCCACGCAAACGGCCGCTGGAGACTCGCCCGCGCGGGCTTATCCCCGCCGAGCGTCCGGCCGGGGGTCTTGAACGAGGTTGCGGAGCGACCGCCCTTATCAGGAAGCTTCAGCGCGTTTTGAATGGCCTGTGTGAGGGCGGGCGGGTTCGCGCCCTTGATGGTCTCGATCGCCTGGCCGCCGTGGAAGATGATGAAGGTGGGCATGGCGCTGACGCCGTGGGTGCGGGCAATGGTGGACTGGCTGTCGACATTGATCTTGCAGAAGGCGACCTTGTTCGGTTTGGAGTGTTCTCTCGCGAGACGTTCGACGTGGGGTGCGATCTGTTTGCAAGGGCCGCACCAGTCGGCGTAGACTGTCATGGTGTTTGTCAGCGATCTCTCGGATGCGCGGGGGACGACTGCTTAGAAGACCACTTACAGTCTGCAATTACAACATTGTTACCGCTCAGAATGCCTTGCCATTGGCCGGCAGATTGGATGTTAACGAGACTCATGGCCTCAATGACTTGGTACAAAATAACGAGGGGGATTTGTAGGTTGGCGCAGATGTAATGAAGTTGAAAGGAGACAAAACGGATCCTTTGGGAGACGCCGCGGCGTAGCTGACGGATAGCTCGCGGCCTGGTCCCAGCGGAAAGGTGGCGGGTACCTGAATAGGAAGGCGGCCAGACTCGACTCCGCAGTTCTGCCGGATTTACCCCAGGATTATCGATAGCGGGACCATCACCCAGAAACTTTTTTGGGACGCTGAATTCTTCTTCAAGACGACATTTCCAGAGCTACCAGAATCACCTGCGCTCCAATTCCGTTCAAAATGGCCTACGATCAAGGAGCAAAGGTATTCCCATCTTCGGGAGCTTTTCCCAGACATTTGCTAATTCGCTGCAGAGGAGAAAGACTGATGACGGCAGCTATGTCGACCCTTCAGAAGGCGGTAGCGGCCGCAAGTGGACAGTCTCCGTTGCAATTCCCAGCAGTATTCTCTCAGAGTATGCCCGCAAACCATCCCCAACGTCTTCGGTATAGAAATTGACCCTTTTTTCCAGTGCTCTCACAGCTGAGCGCCGCAATTCAGTAGCCGGCCTCATCGCCCGCGCTCTCGCCGTCTTCTCCGTCGATGAGATTGTAATCTTCGACGACAGCCCGACCGAATCCCGCCCCAAGAGCGTCGACACGAAGGCCTACACCGGTGATATCGACCCTTGCCACTTCCTCGAGCACCTACTCGGCTACCTCGAGGTACCACCCTTCATGCGCAAGATGCTCTTCCCCCTCCACCCGAACCTGCGCCTCGCCAGCCAGCTGCCCTCCCTCGAGATGCCGCACCACCCGAACCCGGCCGAATGGCTCCCCTACCGCGAGGGTGTCGCCGGCAAGGGAACGCCTCGAGGTACCATGATCGATATCGGACTCAAGGACAAGGTCCTCATCGAGGACGAGGTGCCCCCCAACACCCGCGTGACGCTGTACCACCCGGACCAGAGATCGCAAAAGGCCGAGGCGTGCGACCCGTCGGCGCCGAGAGAGGAGGGCGGCTTCTACTGGGGATACCAGGTCCGTCGCGCCAACTCGCTGACGGCGCTGTTCACGGAGTGCAAGTACGAGGGTGGCTACGACGTTAGCATTGGTACCTCGGAGCGCGGACGCACACTCTCTGAGGCCTTCCCCAGCGCGGAGCCCCTGGAGTTCAAGCATCTTCTTATTGCGTTTGGTGGACCCAGAGGTATCGAGTATGCGGCGTTGAACGACAAGGAGCTCGAGGATATGGATATGGGTCCTTCAAAGGCCAAGGAGCTGTTTGACCACTGGGTCAACATCCTACCTGGCCAGGGCAGCCGTAACATCAGGACAGATGAGGCTCTGTGGGTTGCGTTGACGAGCATGAGGAGGTTGTGGTATGAGGTCTGATGCAACTCTGTGATGTTCAGGGGCGCTGTGTTGGACCGGCATCTTGACGGAGACATGATACCCATAATAAAAGTTTGATTCCATGAAGTGACTCTTTTGTTGATGACATCACATCGTGCAGCCTGTTGAAGTATTGTGAAAATACTGTCCATATTAGAGAGACCCGCTATGCGCCATCATTCAATACGCCGAACACATGAAGGCGGAGCCAGCAGATAAGATCTCACTCGAGTTTATAGGAACTTCATTCTTTGGTTGTTTCGAGGATGCATAAGCATACCACCGATAATCTGAAAATTGCTCACAGCGATTGTCGGTGTTCATCACTGAAAGACTTTCTTTCATGGCTTCGCTGTTGCTATCGCAAGAAAAGGGAGCGGCGGTCGTCGCTACTTATCCATTTCCCCAATCTTCACTGCGTTTTTAGCTCCTACGTAGGGGACAAGGAGTTCTCCCAGTGTGGATCTCGAGTCAATTACGCTGAATCAACTGGCAGATTTCGCACTGTCTCTTGCGTATTTACGATCTTGGACTTGGGAGCGGCTAAAATTGCAGTGCTGGAGGTGTAGTACCTGGCATTGGCTACGACTTGAAGTAGCTGACCGGGCTGGCCATGGAGACTCTCGAGATTGGTTGAGTGTATGGTGAATTAGCGACGCATCTGCTCGAGAAGTGAACGGAACCATGCTGAGTTGGCATGTCTAACATCGTTCACAACCCCAGCCTCATCGCTCATTTACGACTTGATCATGAACCGCAACATGCATACAAATGGAAAAGTTGCACGAGTGTGGTGGTGACAAGGAAAAAATTAAGAATATCATTACTTATACACTCAAGAAGTAAACATCTCAGTGCTGATACAAGGCAATACCAGCCGTGAACCCAGCAATATTATCCTTGTAGAATGCCACATCCTTTCCGTACCGCGTAACCATGGCCGTCGTGCCCACAATCTGCAGGTTGTAGATGTCAAAGTTATCCGTCGCGGTGCAGTTGCCCGGTGCATCGCGCACATCGACGATGCGCTGCTGGCACCTGGCTCCGGCGCCGATCTGGCAGCACGCCGTACTGTAGTTGTTGAAGAAGGAGTAGTGTCCCGCGCCGAACGCGACGACGTTCTGGCTGCCGATGACGCGGAGACCCCAGGCCATCTTGCAGGGCGGGCCGTTGGGGTCGGCGTCCCTGCATTCTGCCTCGAAGTCTGGGTCGTGGTAGCCCTTGACGCGGGGGAAGGGGATCGTGGCGGGCGGGTTGGGTTGGTACTAATCGCAAAAGTCAGTTTCGTGGGGAGCAGTAGGTTTTCATGAGAGAGAATACGTACGTAAGGGGTCTCGGACTGGATCTGGCCCATGTACACGTCCCTGGTCTTGAAGAGCATGTATTGGTAGAGCGTGTGGTGCTCAACTCCAGAGGCGGACAGCCAGATCTTGCCGGCGGTGGACTCAATGAGCAGACCACGACCGTTGTAGATGGTGACCTGCTTGTAGTTGGGATCCTCGAGATCATGATCAGCAGTCCAGATCCAGCAGTTCTCCTGCAGAAGTCCACTTTAAGATTATCAGCCCACATTGTTCACAGAAGAAGATCCAGGATCAGGGGTAACTCACGAAGCCGGCTTGGTGATATGCATACTCATCCACGCCGCAATGCAGTTCTTGTCAATGGTATCCGCGGTCACAGTAGCGTTAGGCGTCGTAGGACACTCCTTAAGCTGTTGCTGCGTACCGGCGAAACCTCCGACACGAATATGCACGTCCCACATACCAGACGGCTCACCCACGGTGTTGAGGTTATACTCAATAACCTTGGCACCTGGGGCAGATCCGCGTGTCGAGACAATCATGTCAGACCACTCGATCGTTCCGCACTGGCCCGGGATAGCGACCTTTACAACGGGGTGAGGCTTCTCAATATCCTGGAACTTCTCACCGCCGCCCATGATGATGGACGCCAAGGCCTCGCCGACGATGCGGGCTCCAGGAGGGATGAAGACGGTATCGGAGACGTAGTAAGTTCCCGCATCGACGAAAGCGAGGAGACCGGCGGCAGGGTTTGAGGCGACGTAGTTGAAGAGGTTGTTCAGGGCCACTGTATCGTCCGTCACACCATCACCGCGAGCGCCGAAGGAGCGGGCCGAGATGACGAGGCTTGAGGGGACGTCTTCGTAGTGCGGCTTGGAGCGCTCGTAGTACTTTGTCGTGCCGTTGGCGGGGGCTCCGAGGAGGGCCGGGTAGACTGGGAAGTAGCCAGCGTCAGAGCCAGTGTAGTCGGTTGGGCCGGAGGGGGTGTAGATGTGACCCATGGCGAAGCCTTGGGAGACGGTGGCGCTCGAGGTTCCAGCGATGATGGTGTTGTTCTTAGGACCTAGGAGAATAGTTTGAACCTTGGAGAAGGCGACGTTCTCCATCACGAGAGTGCCGGCCGTGACAGGAACGGTGACACCGGGCTCACGGCTGGTACGAATCGCGGTCTGGGTGTTGACAAACTCAGAGTCCAAAAGAGTGATTGAGGAAGTGCTGTTATCCTGCATCCGGATACCGATGCCGCAGTTCTCGGCGTAGATGTTCTTGTACGTCCAGCCCCAGTCCCAAAGTTGGTTGATGGCGACCTGGGCGTTCCAGAAACGAAGCTATTCACACACAACGAGTCAGCAACCAATCTTCACTTTCCCACAGCTAGAAGAGGGCTGGAATCACGTTTCGAGCAGTATATTGCTGGTTGCCAAAATTGACGCCATATTGACCTCCGTAGAAGTCAAGATCGTTGAGAAGGCCACCGGAGCCCTCCTCGATGAAGATGCCGACATGCTTGCTCGCCGCGCCCTCAGCAAGGCGGAACTCGCAGTTTGTGATGGCAGTAGCTTGCGACGAGGGCCAATGAATTCCAAAAGCAGCAGCAGAGGCAGGAATGGCTGTGGTGTCGAAAACGAGGTTGCGCACTTGTCTGAAGAAGACGTTGGTCGCGCCCCAGCTGAGGCCATTCGCGCCATACTATGGTGGGGTGTGTTAGTCGATTACTCCACGCACAACACACACAACTAATGCAATTGACATGATTGACGCAAGTCATTTAATCCATGACTAGAAACCAAAGAATTACGAAAACTCAATCACATACCGGGTTGCCGTCGAGGAGGCCGAGGGTGGTGTTGGTGGGGAAGTCGGCCACGGCCTTGATCACCGGGCGATCGGTCGGATCACCAATGATTTGCGTGTAGAAGTAGTCAATGATAGAACCAGAAATGAGATAAGTTCTACAACAAATTGTTAGCTATTTCATTCTTTCTCATCCTCTTCTCACCCACTTGAATGGCAATTCCCAAAGACTCACCCGGGAGGGAAGTAAACGGTAGCAGGGGACGTCGTCTCGCCCTTGCACTTGCCCGGCGCGCAACGCTCACCAGAGCTGATGGCGAGGTTGATCGCCGCGGTATCGTCCGTCACGCCGTC